GGAAGAACAATTATCCTCTCATCTCAAAAGCACGTCAACATACTTCATATCTGTTATTGTATACAAGATATAATTAATAAGATAAACATAATTAGGATATCGTTCCAGTTTGTAATGTTGAAAGAAGTACACTACTAACAGATACTTACGAACTATTGAGAATCTTATAGTTCTACCTGCAAACCTTCCTCTTTGCCTGAACGACTTTCCTGAAGAACTTCATCCCGCTGTTTCCCACGGGAAGTGAAGAACAGGACCAGAGAAAGCGACCTCCCGATAGCGCCTATGACAAATGTTAATTGACGCTTTACTACCTTGAATAATTGTCGCACCTCACTAATGTTGTTCTCTCCCCTGATGCCCAATTTCATGAGGTCTGGAGGCTGTCTAAGAGCGGTAATTTCTTATGCTTCATCTACGTTAAGTACCAAAGCTGCTACCAAAAATAATATATTACCATTAACCATTAATACTAAACTTAGTCAAAGAGAAGAAATATGGCTGCATCTAGGAACTAACATGGTGTAAATTAGAACAGAACAGAACAGAACTAACACTCTACAGAATAGAACTAACACTGTGTTAGTTCTATTCTGTAGTGTTAGTTCTATTCTGCACAGTATTAGTTCTATTTTGTAGAGTGTTAGTTCTAATCTGCACAGTGTTAGTTCTATTCTGTAGAGTGTTAGTTCTATTCTGCAGCGTGTTAGTTCTAATCTGTCTGTAGCGTGTGAGTTCTAATCTACAGATTAGAACTAACACTCTACAGAACGGAACTAACACTCTACAGAACGGAACTAACACTCTACAGAACGGAACTAACACTGTGCAGATTAGAACTAACACGCTACAGAATAGAACTAACATAGAATAAGTTAGAACTAACAATGCATAGGTACGAATTAGAATGAAACAAGATCAGTAAAATATGGAACTTACACACAATAGTGTCATGCAACCTGGGACATATGCGACCTTTTGCTTCTTCTTTCCCTCCAAAGCAACTCCAATGCCCCTGATAATTTCATTATAAAAGAACGGGGCCCATGCAACAGAATTGACCCTCTGAATGCTATCCAGGTACCTGAGTAAGGGTCTAGGGATACCTTCCCCTGCTATGGGACTCCATATCATAGAGCATTGGTACAAAATTTGTAGCAGAACAAAGTCCTCGATATCCCGCTTTTTTGTAGATTCAACTAGCCGTTCAAGTAGCCCTTCAAGATGTTTACGTTGGCTGGTTTCTGATTTTTTTAACTTCTTACCCTCTTCAGAAATGAAAAGCTTAGCGAAGTATTCCAGCCATATTCTGCTTCTTGAGTCCCTATTGTTCCTTATGTCCTCCCCATAAATTGGGAAATAAGTATGGTTGTGGACCCATTGCAAATCAAAACTAACATTTTTCATACCCCCACTTTTTGAATCAGGTATACAAAAGGTGTTATTATCTCTATCGAAAAAGCTCAGCAGCAGCTCAAGGGTGGGCCGATCAGGCGCAGGAGCCCCAAACAAAATGTAGTGCTGAAATATAGAACCGCAGTATGCATCCCTATGCCACTGACGGATCTTCGGGGCAAGGCGCTTCATAAATGCCCAATAAGCCCCGATATTGGCCGTTAACCTTAGTGTTTCTGCTGAGCCTGTTAGAGCAATTTTTTTCCTGCAAAAAATTTTCGAATTTGTACGTTCAATAAGACATATGAAACAATATTAGACCTAGCACTAACGGGAACAAAATAGAGCTAACACGTAATATTATAGAACTAACATTGGACTCATATTAGAACTAACATTGGACTTAAACTAGATCTAACGTTGGTATAAATTTAGAACTAACATTGGACAAAGCCTAGAACTAACAATATTGGGTTAATCTGCATTGTCTGTTCGCAGTATAACATAACACTTACTGTTTTTTTGAGGGGGGTTCTTTGGTACGACCAGCCATTGTCGTCCTCCTTTTCTGGTCTCGCCATTGTAATGCCTCCTTTTGCATTTCGATTAGGGTTTTCGTAGCTTCCGTAGCTTCCTCCGTGCTGCCACCCGCAGATGAAGCGCCTTTTCCTTCCAACTCGGCTCGGTGCCCGACCTCGTAGTCGTTACTGGATTTTTCCGTAGACGACGACATTTTTCCGGCGAAAACCCTAGAAACGTTGAAATTCGTACAGAAATTAGGAAGATGAAGAGTTCTTGATGACGGTGCTAGGTGGAAGAGAGAGAAAGAGAGAGAGAGTACTTGTAAAGGTGAGGGGCACATTAACCCAGCTCAGTCCCATCAGAGGGCAAGATAGTAACTTCCGCTGGGCTTTTTCTGAAAAGAGTCAATTCGGGGCCTCGTCGCAAATACTATGCGTATTTGGGGCTATTCCACATGGGGCAAAGTACAGGGGGGCTAGTCACACGAAGTTCCCACTTTTGGGGCCTGGACACATTTTTCCCAAAAAAGTAACACAATTCTATTTTCCATCTTTAATATCTCATATCCATATCCATATGGATAACGTTTCGATTTGGACCGACCCGAACCGTCCTACTCATAAAACCGACCTACTTTGCTCATAAAACCGACTCATAAAACCGATTTTTCCGGATCGGTTCGAGTCGGTTCGATCGGTTTTTTCGGTTTGGACCGAACCATGCTCAGCCCTAAACTAAACGAGCACTAATAAAGCCTTAACCAATGAAAAGGAATGTTACCGAACGATTTTATTTGGAAATAAATAGGGGCATCTTCGATTCTTTGAATAATCAGAAGTTTTGTATTCGAGAAAAGTTCTTGACCAACATAATTCACTTTTATTTGCTTTTTTCCATGAAACTTCGAAGCACCACGACACTTGGGTTGTTGACGTGAGAGGTCTCTATGATTGAAGTCATGTATTTTAGTGTGGAAATAAGTCACAAGATGTGATCATGGCTTTCCTTTTTCCAGATCACAATAATTAAAAAACGTGCTTCCAAAAATAGGTGATAATCGCCCGCATAGGGACAATGACTCACCTCAATTATATTTCGGCGGTGCTAAACCCTCATAGAGCTTCTAGAACACGTCTAGATTCTAGAAGGTGGATATATATACGTGGCATTTTGTATCACATAAACTATATTTTTCTCAATACTATTTAGTTTTCTCATATCCGTTTTGTATCCGCATGCATGTCCGCTTATATATCCGCATGTATATCCGTAACCGTATCCGATTTAAGCAGATATGTTTATGAATTTTTCTCACCGAGATATATCCATATCTGTATCCGTATCTGAGATGGGTAAGCGGATAGGGATATGATAAGTATCATATCCAAGCTGTATCCAGACCGAATGCACCCCTATTTACAATTCAAATTATCTTTATCTGCTCACCTTATATCAACTTCTTTAATAAGTTATCTAAAGAGGATTAGCTGCCCCCTTTTTCCCCTTTTTGGGGAGTTTGATCTCCTTCACGTTTAATGAAAGGTAAGCATGTCCATCCACCCCAGCCCAGCCCGGCCCGACCCGAAAAACCAGGCCCGGGCCGAGCAAAACCGGAGCCCGGTGGCCCGGGGCCCGGTGGCCCTGGATTGGTCCAGGGCTTCGGGCCGACCTGGGTTTTTTGGTTTTTTTCATTTTTTTAAAATTGTTTATTTTTTTAAAATTTTTAAAAATCTTTTTAAAATTTAAAATATACATAAAAATTATAGAAAATTATATAAAATAAAAATAAAAACAATCATATTATTAATAACTTAAAATGACATAAATTATAAATACAAAAAATTATAAAAATAAAAGATGATAAAAATAACTTCATTATTAATAATCAGTAAATCTTATATAAATTTATTTCGGAATTCATCGCATCACAATATAATTTTTTATATTTATAAATTACATAATTACAATTGATTAATAATATAAATTTTTTATCAAAATTGTGTTTATTTTTAGAATTGTATTCTTTAAAATTTAAAAAAATTAAAAAAATTTAAATAATAAAGAAATTGGGCCGGCCCGGAGCCCATCCCGGGCCCAACTTATATATTTGGAGAGAGTAGGTTAGTGGTTCAAATCCTAGCCACAACTTATATATTTAGAGGTTTTTGATTTGGTCTTTAAATTCTACAATTATTTTTAATTTTGTTTGTTTCTACAAATTTTACAATTATTTTAATTTCTATAATTTTTTATATTTATAAATTACATAATTACAATTGATTAATAATATAAATTTTTTATCAAAATTGTGTTTATTTTTAGAATTGTATTCTTTAAAATTTAAAAAAATTAAAAAAATTTAAATAATAAAGAAATCGGGCCGGCCCGGAGCCCATCCCGGGCCCAGCCTGGGGCAACCGGGCCCGGGTCCGGGCTCCGGTTTTGCCCGGGCCCGGTTTTCCAGGCCGGGCCGACCCGGATGGACAGTAGTCACCTCTATATAATCCTTGAAATTTTCTATCATATAGAAGTTAGGCCGTTTAGGTAATTGTAATGTTGGATTAAGGGTTAACCCAATCATGGTTAGAGGAAATAAAAAAAAAACCAACACAGAGACGAAATTGCAATAAAACTACACATTTGAGGGACTAATGCCAAATACTAAAAGTCGAGGGACTAATGAGGAAGTACTAAGAGTTGAGGGACTAATTTACAATTATCGATGATTAGAAGACTAATATGCAATTAACCCTAATTTTTTAAAAGCAATGGAATAATCAAATATTATTTTTTGCGTAACATGTTAAAAAGTTTGCTTCCAGAAAGCTTCAAATGCAAATGCAGTTAAAATTAATGAGTTTGACAAACAGTCTCATTATGGCGCCAATTAGCAAGGGGTTAAGAGAGGAGTTAAAGAAGGGGTTGAGAGGAGTTAAAGAAGAGTTAACCCCTCTTTATAGCCTACCAAAATAAAATAATTTACACATATTGTAAACTAAGTTAATCCCCATTATCTACCAAAAATTTTAAATAAACTAACCCTTCAAAACAAAGGGTTTACAAATACACCTATTTAGAAATATTAAGAAATAATCCCACCATTCATAAAGAAAATGATCATAATTCTTTTTATTTCCAAACACAAAAAATGACCACATAAATTAAAATAAACTGATCTAACATATTTAAATTTTCAACCATTCCAATTAACAAATAAACTAACTATTTTAACCCTTCTCTTTTAACCCCTCCTCTTAACCCTTTACCAAACAGGGCCAACATCTTCCGACTCTACTGTCAAAAACGATCTTTTAACAAAAATGATCACTCTTAACCCTTTGCCAAACAGGACCAACATCTTCCGACTCAATTGCTAAAAAGGATCTTTTAACAAAAATGATTACTCTTAACCCTTTGCCAAACAGGGCTAACCTCTTCCGACTCTATTGCCAAAAAGGATCTTTTAACAAAAATGATTACAACATTTTCAATAGCAAGTAATTTGGTTACAAACTAGATTGTCTTTACATAAATTACCATTGCAATTCCAATTATAACTTTCTACTAACCAAACAGATCTACAGGATAGTATTGAATACTCTTTTATACAAATGCCGGATAACCATGATTTAGAATGAAGTTGATGAAAGCAAAACAGCCATAAATAGAGAAAATTACTCATCTCATGGAAAAGTAACTGATATTGTTTATAAACACACATGAAAGCACCAAACCGCATGCTAGTTCTCCACAGTAATAATTTGATTGACAATTGCACAGGACACTTCTTCCACTATAGAAGCTAAGAAATATTTTTGATGGTAACTTCTTCAACTATAGAGCTAAAAAAGAAAATAGTTTTCACGGTAACTCTTCGTGCAAACCCAGGGCATAATCCTCCTCACATTAGGAAAGATGTTACTACAATCCCATCCTAATAATGCAGTCTGATGTACTACCAAACAAGAGGTATCGGATTAGATGAAATACTGAGAACATTATTATCAAATCAACAACCTTTCAATTACATGTTGCCAACTGACAACAAAAGATAACGATAAATACTTCAAAAATTCTAAATTAAAACTTAGGAAAGCTAATTATATCGGCTGCATCCTTCTATATTGTTCACAAAGTAAAGTAACAGATAACCCAGACCATGATTCCATCTGAAAAACAAAGAAGTGTGCTCATTGATGTTACCACCGTCGGGTGATTAGATCCCCGACCATCAACTGATGGGCAGACGAAAATGTAGTGAGAATTCCAAACAACAGCTTACCCCCAAAATTAGTGACCAATGGAAGATGCTTCTGGTTACTTGACTATCTTATATCAGACTTGCAAATGGGACACGACCGTTTTCTTCTCAACCATGCATCAATGCACTGCCATTAACAAAAAATGTCAGCAAGGAACTGATAATATAAAAGCATACGAAATAGGGTTTTTAGATATTACTCCCATAAATCTTTACTATATTGAGATTAGTCCCTTAATTGGAGGGACTGATTTGAAACAACTTTTAAGAATTGTACGACCTAAATGAAATTCCAATGATTTGAGGGACTAATTTCAGTCTATTAAAGATTTAAGGGACTAATATCGAGAAAACCCTAAGAAATAATAGTAGTTTGATAATTATATGAGGAGTCCTCACATCTTTATGGAATTTATGCAAGCAAGGTAAATGGCGGATGGTATCTCCTATAGAGGGGGGCTCAAGGCACACAGCACAAGCCTCCTCGGAGTCAGCATTCTGTTAACACATATTAGAAAACAAACGATTAGACCAAATGTTGAGGAAAGAATAAAATACCAACCTACATCAAACATTTACTAGTAAATGCTTGAATTGATAGCGAAGAGCGAGAAAGATTTGTACCTGGATTACTGACTGTGGCAAGTTACTTATCTGACTGTCTGAAGCACCACCATGTTGATGGTTGTTTTCATCAAGTGCCAAAAGCAACTCATAGTCATCCCTAGAAACAATAGAATGCCTCGTAAATAGGTTATTGGAAACTTATGACAGGACTTTTTTTCAAATGTGTTATTGTCAGAGAAACCATCAGCAGTTCAGTATACATTTGAACATTTATGAATCAATTACTTGGGCACTAGAATGGCTACAACAGTGCTTATGTTTTTCTAATCATGGTTATTTCATCAATATTCTTCAAGTTATTTAGACAGTTAATGTGCATTTTTTATTTTGATCCACTAATTCTTCTGGAGGTTGGTTGTGTGGAAACCGGATTGTCCCCTTTATAGGCTTGTTCTTTTGGATAACTGCTGTGACAGATTCATAAAGAAAACCTCTTCAGGAAATCTAAATTTCAATTGCATGAATGGCTTTTCTTTGAACTTGGCTTCTTGGAGATCTTTGAGATCCCTAGCATGTAATCATGATTACTATAATTACTTGTAACAAAGGCAGCTTAGTCTTTTATTAGAAACATTGGGCTGATCTTCTTTTATTAGGTCTGTCTACCTTCAAACGAAGCATACATGTTTCAATCTGGAGCTTAGAAGTTCACATCGCAAGTGATTAACTCATAAAGAAAGAAATCAACCTAAACCTAGTTATTCCTGAAAATTAGAGCTATAACCAGAACAACACTGCATATAAAATATAGATGTTTGGTAAAATCATTTTGTTAACAGTGAAAAGACTGGTTTCCAGTCCATTAAACCACGTATTTGAAAAGAATAATAACAAAATGAAGAGAAAAAAAGACTAGGTTCATGGTTCGCCATTTTATCTTGGATCACAAATTGCTGAGGACTACTCCAATTACTGAAAAAGTGAATTATAATTTAGACAGTTATGAGCAGCCTGGAATCACACAATTGCATGCCAACTAGTACAATGCTGCCATAAAAACAAGAATGCAAGTTTTGCTGAACTCGTGAAAGTTACCTAGCCATGGCTTTGGTAAATGTGTTGAGACTGAAAGAAGGAAAAATATGGGGTTTTCGTTAAGATGACAGAGTGTCAGATATGTCTTGAATCTTCATATGGAAACTATCTTTTTTTCTTTTTAGTAAATTATATAACAACAATCTTATGGCAGAAGCAACAAACGACGGAAACTATACAAATATTACAATTGCTCCCTTTTTGCACAAACTTCATGTTGTATCGTAACTCTTTAATGTAAAAAAGTAAAAGCATATATATGAAAGAACTGGAGATGAGAAACAAGAGGCATTAGAGCTTACTCATTAAAGTCTCGTTGCATATGAAGAATGTTGTTCACCCTTGCTGCATCACCAAATGAAGCTGTTCCTATGATGTCAAACCTCTGGTAGCCACCAAAAAGATGCAGCATACGCAGCAAAGTTCAAAAAATGAGACATGCTATGCTCATGGTATCAATTAAAACTAAAGCGCAAAAAAGATAAAGGAAACAGAGAATAAGAACAAGAATATCCAATAAACACCAGACAGCCATAACCAAGCACTTAATTGCAAAAGAAAAGCAAAACCTTCCAATGCTGCGAGATATCACCTAGCTGTTCTTTTGTCAATATCATTAGCTTGCACTATCCACAGAAGTCAGTCATTTTTATTTTATGTTATAACTGACCCACTTTGATGGAAAGTGTTGTTCAGTTACATGTTAAGTCCTAAATGAAAGCAAATTTGAGAAATGATTTTGAGCACAGGGTATCTTCTGTTAGCAATTTTATATGATTCAAAATGCTTGAATAATGCATAGCAAATGAAATGCCCCCTGATGAAAAATTTCTGCAACATTTTCCATCATCGTAAAAGTAGCTGTACATACATAATCATGTCTCATCATAGCTACCTACTGTTGCCCTTTTGAATCCATGTTGCATAAGCATAACAACCAAAACCAAGTTTCCAAATTGCCTTTTGAACCCACCTCATAATAACCATGGTATAAGGCTATTTTACAAATATAACCACCAAACCCAAATTTCGGCCTCATAAACACGCTTTGAAGCCATTAGCCAGATAAGGCTGCCATGGTAGTGAATGCATTTATGACCCATGGAATTAAGAGTTAGAACACACATCATATAAATGCAAAGCAAGAAGACAAGTTAATATATATTATTATAGGGGAAATGCTCAAGTACTTCTTAAAATACCCATTTGAGTACCATACAGACCTCCCTCAAGACAGCATCTTATGATGGTCTTTGAAAAAAAATTCTAACTGTGGAGAAAATAGAGGAGCCAAAGTTCATCTAATCCTAACTCCTCTCGTATAGATATTAGGAGGATATTACAAAATACATATGAGATAAAATCATGTCTAATCACATCTCACAATATCTCATATGTATTAGATCTAAATAGTAAATACTAATAATATCTAACACTCCCCCTTAGACTGGAGCATATATACGATATATGTGCACATTGCTAGAGATGGAAATAAAATGCCTAGTTGCAAGAGCATGGTAATGTCATCTTTGTCCGAAATACTTGAAGACGCCAACAATCAAAAAATTATAATCATGGCTAATAAAAACCCTAAGCGGGCAAGCCCTTAAAAGAAATATTGACAGGTATGCCAGTTGAAGCCTTAGGCGGGTCAGCCAGTAAACACCCAAAGCGGGCTAGCTAGTACAAAATCTAGGCAGGTGAGCAACCCTAGGTGGGTCAGGCAGTAAAAACCCTAGACAGATCAGCTAGGAGAAGCAACATCGGAATCAACTATGTACGTTTGCATCCAACCAGCAGAAGATGACAGAGAGCGATACTGTTCATCATGAACAGTGCATGTGGAATAGTGCCAGCGATCAACGATGCGTTTTCATTTTGAGGCCTTTTTCATTTTGAGGTTAGGGTTTTTCAAGGGTTGGGATTTCTTATTGAGGTTCAACAAAGATTTAGTAAACAAATGATATAGAAATCAAAGATGTTGACGAAACCACTGAAGGTGTTGTCATAGCCGCCGAGGAGAGCATGAATGCCATGCAAAACCCTCAACGGCCTCGAGATTTAGAAAGATTGGGAGACGTTGCTAAGATTGATAAGCTCGGATACCATGTAGAGAAAATAGAGAAGGCAAACATTATTACTCATTTAATCATAACCTATCTTAAATGGAGATTAGAAGATTACTACAAAACAGGTATGAGATAAAATCAAATCTAAGCATAGCTCACAATATGTCATAATATCTACTAGATCAAATAATAAATACTAATAATATCTAACACTAACAATTTGCAAAGACCCCTTATTTACTACATTAATAATAGTGTGGGCACACAAGAAATATCTGTAGCAGTGCTCTGATTAAGATATGTGATCTTAATCACGAGTGATAACCCTGGTTTTCAGACCTCAAGAAGCAGAGATGGAAATTGTCCCACTGTCCATGGTAATGAAATCAAGAGTATTTTATCTATACATCATCCAAATAGGCTATGTAAGGATAAACCTGTAATATGACGATGGCATCATCTTCATAATATGAACAAGTGCAGAGATGGGACTAGCATGAGAGGTTCCTTCTCAGCTAATGTTGTTCCCAGCACTAATTTGTTAGAAAAATGGAGCCTAGTAAACATCTGGTGGGTGGGTGAGTGGCTCTTTTTCCCTCTTTCTAAGAGAAAGGACTAATACAACAGCTGCACTTGATTTTTATAAATTGCCCAATGAGACAAAAAAAACATGGGAGCATTAAATGTTAAATGTCCCACCTTAGAAATGATTAACTATTGTGTATATACACGATACAGAAATAACCTCAATAAGACTCATGAGGTTTTTGGGCAGGAATTACGGCTATTAACCATAAGGCAGACATGGACGAAAAAAATAGAATCTAAAATTAGAATTAACAGGATGAAGTAAGAATGACATAATGCAACCTCGCTATAGTAGGGATGAGAATAAAGGTAGACTAGATAAAATAGAACCCAAGCCATTCGAATAAACAGGATGAAGTAAGAATGCCATAACTTAGCAAAAGATGATAAGAAACAAGGAAATAAATTTGAATTAGGAGCAGGAAATAACCAAATTGATTAAAAAAATTTACTTAAAGAATATTCATTCAGAGATGAGACTGAATACGATGTGGCACAAGTATTATGGATCAAAATTGCAATCAAGAACCACATCCAAAAATTAAGTATTAGATGAAAGGAGAATGCTGATCAGTAGCATGCACAAAATAAGTGATACATGCATCCATAATTCCATATAGAGAATTAGAGATAGCTTCAGATAAATATAAAAAGAGAGGTAATCAATGGAGATGGTACAGACATCCAGAGCATAGTATGTCAGTTAAAGGAACTAATAAGATAGTGGTTGAATGAGCAATAATCGGAGGTAAATGTAAGCACGAAAAAGCATGACTCCCAGCAGTAAAAGAGGATATGCTGGCTGTTAACGTGATGAAGGAGGTGTGGACTGTGGAGAAGAGATGAATTGAGGAACAACATTTTAGTAGCTAACCGCAAACTGAACCTGGATTAAGGCAGTATGTCAACTCAAGTAGTGAGAAAAGATGATGTAACCCCAAAGAAATGCTACAAAAAATAACATAATTTTCTTGTGGGCATTTGGATATAAAACTGTCATGTATACATCAGCTCAGAAGAATTCGGTAACATCATTGTTGTCATTGTCATCATCTCTGAAACTTCATCTATCTACTTCCATGAATAGAGTAAGCTATGAAGCACAAGGCACCATGAAATGCTTGACAAAATTTCCACCAGTTGTCAACCATTTAGACTCCCAAGATGTTTGGCCATCTGGGACTAGCGGAAAGGGTTTCAGCAATGGTTAAGAAAAAAAATCATACATATGGAGAGAATGATGGTCGTCAAATAAATGGCATATTGTCGCAAAAAACAAAAGGTGAACACTGATATACAAGGGGGAAATTATGCAAGTACAAACAGTAACTGGAAAAAAAGAACTTACCCTATTGAGATCCATCATTGTCATGTGCAACTCTCTTCTCATTTGGGCTAGTCTACTCGATGTGGGCACCCGAGAACGAAATGTTTCTCGTCCAGAATTTTGCCAGAGACGAGAGCGCAGTGATGAACTTGGTAGATCTCTCTGAGAACAGTAAAGAATTGAACACGAAAATTCATAAATAACCAAGCCATTGAACACAAAACATCCACAAAAATCATCTATATTCAATGAAGTAGAAACATTTAAGAATCATTTCTAGTAAAGAAAATGAAGAGTAACACTCTTCTTCAGAGCTTATATATTAGGCAAAAAGGAGGATGCAGAGTAAGGATAATAAGATGTGCATAGCAAATAGAGCAAGCTACAACAATTGAGAACTTGAGATACTAAAAAAACCAGAACTTTTTAAGGATGGAGATCAAAGTTAGCTGGATTACAAATACCAACAAAACTCTAGTTAGTAGTTACATGCTAAGTGGGGGGAAACTGAAAATAATATAAATAAATAAATAAATCAAGGATTTCTAAATTAGCAGAAGTTAGATCAAGCTAGTTTCCGTTTGATGATTTCATCTCCAAGCTGGAATATTTTTCCATGGTTTCCATGATTTCATCTCCGAGCACCACATATGGATGTAAATAGGTGCAATTTACTCTCCATGTTTTGACATATGGGCATCGATGCATTTTAAAATATGAATATGAACATAGACCTGGTAATATAGTCCAAATATCTGGATCAAAGTTTACTAGAGCAATATCCGAGAACATATAGGCTAGAGAGCTAAAGTTATGTAACATCAAAACTTCCATTATATACAATATCCTTTCAATGAAAGAGGATTCTAAATCTAAGGTTGGATTTTATTTTACTTCCTTATCAGTAGTCATACTCGGTATATTTGGTAAATATTTGCATTTTATCCAAGTACAAGCTCAACTTGCAAATATAGATAATGACTTGAACATCCAAACAATATGTGTGTTCGTATTCAAACCCTGCTTACTGCTAGAAGCAAACATATATCCATGTTCCATTTTGAATACATCTAATACGACACTATTACTTGTTATCAAGGTTACCGAAAGCGCTAGGCAGGCTAGGCATTGGACCCAATTACTAAAACGTAGGCAGCTAGGCGGGGACTAGACGTTTCCTTTTTTAAAAATTTTAATTATAATTACTAATAGTAAATGGCAGTGTTTTAGAAAGTTTGGGTGCTGGACTGACACCTAGATAGATTTCTTAAGTGGTGGTGGAGGCGATTTTTCTGAAGGCCATGAGAGATGAGAAGATGTTCGTAGTTGAAGTTTGGAGGAGGTTATAGGACGTGAGGCTGCTATAGAGGAAATCGTGATCAATGCCTAAAGGGTATAATTCATATAGGCAGACCATGCTCCGCTAAGCATTCTCAAAACTTAGGTGGGCAGTCTCGGTACCGTCTAGCCTCTAGGAGCTAGGCGCCACTTAGGGGTCAAGGTACCTTTTAGGCCTAGGCGTACGCCTAGGCAGGCTAGGCGGAGGCTTTTTAATACATAACTTGTTATACACATTATCAGTAACTTAATAGCCCTTTGTAATAAGAGTATTGATGAATATTTATCAGTTTAGTAACAGAAAAGAAAAATATTCATAATATCGTGCAGCATTAAGTTCACATAAGCAATGAACAATCGAGTATGCTATGTGATGTATGCAGGTATAACCGTATAATTATTGATAAAAATTCTTTGGAAAAAAGACAATTACTCACTTCTGCTGATGCATATTCAACCATAGGCAAGAATGCAACAGTTGCATACCAATATATTGAGGTGCATCATGAAGGTTTCATGTAAGTTAAGGATATTTTGGACAGTTATAGGCAGATAGAAAGGTATACTTCTTACACGACGAGCTCGGTTCTGCCTTGAAATAGAGGCACTGTGTCCATCATTCTCCTGTAGCAACAATGCTATACTCGCATCAATCTGTATATTGGCAAAAAGAACAGCATATATTGATAGTTATGCTTTTCCTTATGTAGCTAAGAAATCAAATGGATAACTATTAAATAACAATACAAACACATGTCCCCAGTGCTCCTTATAAGGATTTTGGCTTTGTCAATGCCTCATCTGTGAATGTAATTCGTTATAACAAACCTAGAATCTTTCCAACCTGGGTTTTTCAAATGATAGCCAGCAAGTTTTGATGTAAAAGACATAGATGACACTGATATATGTTTGTAAGGCTTTAGTGTTACCTCTAAGAACCTATGCTGCATGGACACTTTTGTCATGAAGCCGTACACCTACCCATACCCAACATGTACCATACCTGTACTAAACCCCAATACACCTTGGACACTCCTTGAATATATGCATACATTTATTAAGACATGTACTCAATTACATAATACATGATTAATTTAAAAAACTCATACACTTCATGGACATATATCCTACACTTCACAGTTCACATCCGTTGTATGAAATTGGTTGGACAAAGGACGGGTTCATTTCATCACATACTCAGTTCAGAAATATGATTCTGGAATGTTGTTTGCGTATCAAATTTGAGAATGAAAGATTTTTCAATTTATAATATACATCATCATAAAAACATCAGAAACTTTGCTTCACATGGCATGTAAATGAAAAAAACAATTAATCTCATGTAACTGTATATAATCGTGTCCCCATACCCTACCCTGCTTTTTATTAATTTGCCATGTGCTGTATCCACCCCTGCAGCCGCCTTCCAAAGCACAGGACAAACTATGTAAGAGGTGAGCAAAAACCACACCATTGACCTTGATCTAAATTGTGAAAACAAAGTAATCAACGAAATCATGTATGCAAAGCTTCCCAAGTCAATCTGTTATAATTATCAAATATTGACTGTTTAATATAGAACAAGAGGCATGATTTCATGACAGCTTGGAACTCTCAAATTCATAAATCAAGATGAATGGTGTCCATAGATTACTACTATGGCCCTTTGCAGCGTCATAGGTGGTCCTCTAAAGAGATATTTTCATCAGCCTAGCCATAATAGATTTAAAAGTTTCACTAGAAGGACCAATAAAGCCTTACATATATAACATCTTTATATCTTACACACGCACCCGCCGTCATTCATATATGTGCAAATGTAGGATGTATATATGACACGTATGCATGCATGCATATGAGTTGGAATACAGCATTTTATAAAATCAGCAAACGTAGATTTGTATCTCTAACAATCTACTCCGTAATGATTTTCAACCATTTGGTGTGAGCAAAAGGTCTTCAAATGATTTTTAGCTTATTATAATTTAAAATGTGTCGATCAAAATGAACATGAGCTATTCAATTTCATGACTATTCAATTTCATTTCCTAAAAGCAATTTTGTAGGTTGCCATGACGAAGAAAGTTATACCCTAAAAGAATGGTCTACAATAGTAGTCCGGATAACTATTAGCTGGAATAACCTTGATACTGGAGCAATGGTGGAACAAGTCATGGATGATCCCCTGCTTTCTGTTTAATTTTAATTGCACTGACAATGAAACATCAATTACTTTGAAAATCGTGTACCTTAGCAATAAATGTTTTCAGTATTAAGTTCACTTCAGCAGTAAATAAATGATACAGGTAGATGCATGGGTAGCTGATCCTTCATCTCATGGATGATCAGCTCCACTCATCTTATTCTAACACGGTACTTAGTCAAATAGTGGAACATCAAGTGTTTTCAAAATCATTACTCATGCAACAAGTTCTTTTAGAAAAGCTTTATTTCGACCTTAGAACAAATTATATCATGCGATGCACAGTCAATATCTTTTGACTTAGTCTAGTAGTAATGTAACTATTTACAAAATGTATATGATGAACGTAAGTACATTCATGATGAACGTAAGCACATAACAGATGGTGCACAGGGTGGTCGACATTGCTCCATATTAAACTCACTGTAGGTAGCTATGTACAATATGTAGATCCCTATTTCTCATATCTGTGTGTGTTGGATGTGTATCAAATGTGTTTCTCTAGAGGAAGAGACAGAGGGGGGCTTGAAGAGTTTATATGTACCACAATCCTGCTTGACTAAGAAAGACAGAAATAGTTATACTACAGAATAGAGAAAACTTACCTCATCAATATTTCCAGTTACTGCAGTTTCATTGTACAATTCCTCTTGGAGTTGACGAGCTAACATCTCATCAGACTCAACCTGCATATGCCTATCAGCAGCATTGGATGATGCTTCAGGAGACTGCAGTTCATCCACCTCAATGACTGGGGCCAATGTCAGGCCACCACGCTGAGATCTGCGACTTCTCGCTGATCCTGACGGTAAAGTTTGCCTAGAAGATCCAAAATTTAAGCTCTCAGGATCATTAGAAGTTGAGCTGGAACATTCACCGACTCGAGAGCGTGATGAACCTAGCTTCCTCTTTCCATTAACTCTTCCATTTTCTTTCTGCAACTCCCCAGAGTCCTGAATTAGGATTGAATTGGTTCCATGCTGCATGGGTGGTACTTCAGAATTAACTTGTACGACATTCACAGAACTTGTATTTGCCATTGTAACTTCATGGATTCCACCAAAGGAGTGACTGGCATCTTCACTCTTCAAAGTGCCAGCAGTGTTCCATGTTGAAGCTGCCGATGACTTTCGCGTGTGATTTCTTGTTGTGATCCAACCTTTATCCTCAAGCCTATGAGCACCACCCTCAGCATCTGGAGTGGCAGCCAGCTCCTTCCCAGTTGTCAAACTTACACTGAAAAGGTGGTAGTATGTTATGAGCAAATATGCCACAACAATCTGAAAGCTAATTCCTATACATGCAAATACAAAACATACCATGACTACAACAACCACTTCTGAGAAAAAATAGGGTGAAACCAGGAAGTGAAAGGTAATGATGATGTGTTTATTGTTGAGTTTACATGTGGAAATATTCGGACAATTCTAGTGCGGTTATTCTTATCTTGTCATGCATTCATAAAGCAGCCATTGTCAATGGCTAACAATTTATAGGGGGAAAGGTCAACACCATCAGCATGTTAGCACTAAAACAGACTGCTAGCACATTGGCAGTTGGTATTCTAATAGTCCATTTCACTCCAAGATGATATAGTATTTGAACAACATGCATAAACGCTTGGCATAACTCCGGAATATATGGACTGTATAGTACTATCCGGTTAAAAGTAGGTGTATAAAGCAGGACTACACAATAAAGGTTGTTACTACCTGTTTGCACAAGATCTATCTTTAGCAGATTGCTCGTTAGACGCTACAATATCTCCCACTGTCGCTTTTCCTTTCATTTTACTAGAATTTTTGTCTTGAGAGTCAGGGCTAATGATGTGTATTGTATGAGACAAATTCCCATTATTCCCGATGTTGACCTCCCTTGGCTTCACAATATTTCTACTCCGCTCAATGTTGAGCGGGGATATGCGACCATTTCGTACTAGCCTTCTCTGTGCACTTCTTGTACGACGCGGTTGTCCATTTACAAATTCCGGATCCCTACACAGATCTGTTCCTTTTCCATTGTCTTCAATGTTACTTTTTTCTACATTACATGGAGAGGTACAACCATTCCTAAGTTGTGTATTACTAGATAGATCAATTCCCTTTCCTTTATCTTTATACTTCAATCCAGCATTGTTCCCACGAAGTTCCTCTATCTTCTTGTCGTCAGCAGACGGTGATATAGTAATACAATTTTCACTCAAGGAACACACGTTCTCCACAACGGGGCTTTTGCAACTCAAGTCAATTGTTCTTCTGCTCCTAGCACTTCCATCTGAAATCTTCGCATGCCCAGGTTCAAGCGGCTTACTCTGGGACTCGAAAGAAGGTTTAGCTTCTGAAGTCCTGGAGAGTTGCCGTGCTAAATTGGCTTCTAGAAAGTAGAAATCAGCATCATCGGATGCATTGCTAATTCCAACCGAATTATGGCGATTGGAGTGTCTACTGTTCAAACCAGCCCTGGTTAAAGGGCTGTAATTTGGAATGCCATCCAATTTGAAATTATTTCCCCGGGAAGAAGTCAAATGTCTTGTTGTTGTTCTATCGGGAGTATCAGGGACTTCCAGTATCATATTACAGTCCGCTTCCTCCATGCTCTGCAAGGCAAAGGGAAAAAAGATAATAAGAATCTTTCTACAACACCTCATTAAGACCTAAATCTTTTACATAAAGGATTAAAGAAAATTATAAATAACGAACGCAAGAAACAAAGTTAGATATAAACAATGAATCATTCTACAACATCTCAATAAGACCTAAAACTTTTACAAAAAGAATTAAAGAAAATCATAAATAAAGAAAGCACGAAATAAACAGAAGATAAGGAAGAAAAAACGAAGATCGCAGGATGCTAGAAGAAAGATCTAAACTAGCTGAAGTCTGAAAATTTTATACACATAATCGAATTTTTTTTTTTTTTCCTTTGTGTGGTAAAATTGCGGCTTTAGGTTGAGAATCTGCAGAAATTCCAACAATAAATAAATCCGCTAAGTATCTCGAACACAAATCAAAAGAATTATTTATAACAAAGACATCTTTTACCCTAAAAAAACAAGATACTCACTTTGATAAACAAATAGCTGATAATTTTCTTCCTATCATCAATCCGCAAACAAAATCTGACTAAATAGTTGATTTTGAAAGCAATTTGTGATTTTAATAATTTCCATGAAAATATTAGGATTAGTGACATGAGGATCAAGATTAAAAGAGGTAATTGAAAAATTTTGCGAAATTTTTACCCTCGATTTGGATCCGAAATCGGCGATGGGATTCGGAACCCTGCCGTCTTTTTTCCTCCTCCCATCCATTCCTTCTCCTGGTCCCCGGCTTTGCATCGAGATTGGTGCAGGGGTTAGATCCAACGGCGTAGATTATCTCTGTGGCTTCACGGACTGAGGATTACGAACCGACGTAGGTCCGTATGGGATAATCCTTAGCTCTTCAGACGGTAACGGTAACGTCACCCGCGGGTGAGTTTAAGATTCAATAGGTAGAACTGGAAGAAATTTTTGAAATGAACCCATTCACAATTTTAATCCCACATTTCGACCAAATCCAAACTTATTTATCAAAATCGACCCATTTTCTCGTTACGTCAGTTTCGTGGTCAAAAAATGGGTCGTTTTAAAAAAATCGTGATCTTAATTAGTCGGGGGTTGCCAACCCCGACTAATTAGGACCTCACAAAATGGTCGAGGTTGGAAACCTCGCCCATTTAGCAGAGACTGGAATCAACTCATGAAATAGTCGGAGTTGCCAACCTCGGCTATTCAACAAAGACTCCCCAGCCTGAAAATCAGGAATGGGCTAAGTGATGAAATAGTCGGGGTTGCCAACCCCGACTATTTGTGGTGGGTCCCGCCCGCCTTATATATACTAACTGAAACTATTTCTCCCCAAAAATCTCGATTTTTCTCCTCTCCAACTCCGGTCTCTCTCTCGTTCAGCCGCCAACTCATCTCTCCCAACCCCTATTTTGCGGTTAAAATTCATCGGGAAAGTTTGCTTAAGATCTCTAGGGTAATTTTTCTTCATTCTCTCCTCTTTTAACATGTAAAACTCTAGGGTTTTCTATCAAAATCTACTTTCTAGGGTTTAAATTTTATTATCAAGCACTCTATTTGTGGTGGTTCGAATGCTTTATGTGTTGATTGTTGTAATTAAAATTAAACTTCTAAGGCATAGAATGCTCAATTATAGGGTTTATGATTTTTATTTTGGGGTTTAGGGTTTTTTGTCAAAATTATATGAGAGTATTTGCATCTTGGATTTTCCTCTCTTATTCAATGTTGTGATAAACTTTTTTCAATTTTTTTGCATTTAAATGATATAACTTTATTTTGCATAGGTTGAACAATATGATTTTTATTGCTTGCTCTTATGGTGAAAAAATTAATTATGGAATGAATAATATGCCAATGTACGTCATAGGGGTAACGGCGTCGTTAATGATCTCAGAACCATATAGTTATCGTGACTTGATTAAGGAATTACACCGAGTTACGAAAATTGACCCACAAGAGTACTGACTAAAAATAGTATGTAATTGACCCATAACTTTAGATTGAATGTCCGCAGTTGAGATCTCAAACAATCATCATATGAGTACTATGTTTAATTTGAGCAAGTCGCAACCAATGGTAGAATTGTTTATTGAAAAGTTATCATATAGTTCGTGCTAAATATTCAAACCTCCAGGAGAATTCTCAGGCAGGTTAGATTTGGGAGTTGAGTCTGATGGTTTTCTTTCTTCTTCGAACGAAATGAAGCGGACTCGATTTCAATATCTAAGTGCACCTTTATTCGGGGGAACGTCGAATGTCATGAACAATAACGTCCCTTATGAAAATATGAGTCCGTTAAGAGGGGCAACAATTAAAGAGGGTGAAAGAAGCAACGGCTCTGAAGGTGAAGAGCAAGATAGTGCACCAATTGATAGCATGCAATTTTGTGACTGAAGATGTTGAAGAGAATTCGGATTGGGTTGATAAGGCTTATGCTAATAATGAATATGTTGAGTACAAAGAACCACCCCCCGACGAGTTTGAAGATGATGAGTGGATTCGTTCTTCCACAGTATAAGATATGTGCATTGGGCAAAGTTCAACTTATAGAAGAGATGATGACGTCCCTTTCAGAGTTAGAAATTTATTCGAGACTAATGACCAATTGGTTGATACTATTCGTGATTACTCAATGAAAAAGAATGTTAAATTCAAGCAAGTTAAAAGCAATCGTACAAGTTATGATGCAATCTGTTTTATGAATACACAAAGAAAGGTCAGGCCGAGGGAAATGAAGCTGATTACGCATGTCCTTGGAAGTTATATGCATTTGCTGAAAGAAACATAATGGGCATTTTAGGATCACAAAATACTGCGGTGTTCACAATGTAGCAATCCAATATTAGAGCAAGATCACAGTGGTGCATCTACCTCTTACATAGCGTGGTTGATTATGCTAAAATTAAAGAAGAAGCTTGAACTAACACCCAGTAATATAATTAAGAGAGTGCTAGATACGAAGTTTATTAAAATATCATATAGTAAAGCATCGAATGCAAGGAGAATTATGATGACAAAAATACTTGGTGATTGGGAGAAGTCTTACACGATACTTTCTCAATATCTTGATGCGATCAAAAGAAGCAATCCTTGATTTGAATACAAACTCATAACCAAAGAGATCAATCCGGGAGTTCATCAATTCACCTCTGCATTTTGGGCGTTTGGTCCTTCGATCGAGGAATTTAAATTTTGCCGGTCGGTATTTAGCATTGATGGCTGATGGGTCATAAATGATAACCAAAACTTACAAGTGCACAACTATCAAGTCATACTATAAAAAGTTATTGATCCCACGAGGAAGGTGTTTGTAGGAGATAATTAGAATCGGTTCTTATGTTATGTGCGTGACAATTAGGAGTGATGGTTGCGTGTGATTGTAGAGAGATATGCAAAATGTTGTGAATATATGCAAATAACAATAAAATGAGATTGAGATGAGAGAAAGGAATCAAAGAAAATAAAGAGAAAAGTAAATAATGAAAAATCAAGAATAAAGAGAAAATTCAAGGAAATAAAGATGGAGGATTCAATTAAAGATATGAGGAATCTATAATTGAATTCATTAGCTAATTTTAATTATAGAATATGAATCATTCTCTTTGTATCATATTTTACTTTAGATTTATTAAGCATATGCTATCAAACCATTTAAGAAAAGCATAACCTATCAAATTATCATCTAAGCAAAATTAAAATTCATGAAAAGAACAACAAGTAGATAATAATTCTAGAATTTATAAGCATAATCTATCAAACCACTCAAGATAAGCATAGATTATCTAATTCTTTTTCTACCAATCAGTTCTCTAGTTGATTATCCTACACATGATCATTTTATGTGTAAGAAAATAATTTATAAACTATAAAAGAAATTAGGCTAGTTTTATACAATTCTAGAATTCTTATAAGAATTAGTTCCACATCTTAGGAAATAAAAATAAGAAATAAAATCTATAATAATGAAGAATAAAAGAAAAGAGTGAAGATGAAAACTAATTACAAAGAAGAGAAATGAGAATAAAGAAATTTACACTATGAACATAGAAATAAATCTAACTGGATTGTAAAAGAAAAGAATATGAATGAAAATATAGATTATGCGAGAAAATAAATCTACTCTACAAATTAAAAGTGCAAGACAATAATAAAAAATAAAGACAAGAATGTAATCTACTCTATAAGGCATTAATGTAAAACTAACTACTAAAGCAAGAAGAAAATAAAAGATATAAAAATAAAAGGGGAATTTTACATTACAAGAGGAGTTAGCCTCATGAAACCAAACCTTCAAATTGATCTTCATTTTCATCTTAATCTTCATCATCATCATCAAATAAAGAGAGAAAAAAATATGAAGAGGTGAAAAAAATCTTTTATTAATTGCAATAAAAGTTATAAATTTGAAAGGTCTTATCAATTAAGAGAAACCCTCCTCTCCAAATGGAGTTACAAAGTTTTTTACATCATCATTCCCTCACACTCTACCCTTATTTATAGTCTACACAATGAATGAGAGCCCTTGGATTAAACTTGATCCCCAAGCTAATCAACTTCAACACTTAATTCCGTAACAGTAAATACGTATCGATGCCGGTATCGATACGAGTATCGATATCGGTATCGATACCGCTATCGATAGCCAGTCTTTTTCATTCTTTGGCTGATTCTTCTCTTGGGTTTGGACTCTTGGGCTTTTAGAGAGATGAGATATTTGAGTTTTTCTTAGGCTTTTATTTATTAACCTACAATTAAGATAAAATACATTTATTAGTGACATATTTATTAAATTAAATAGATAATGAATGTATAAAATATAATGAAAATATGATTATCAATGGCACACACTTATATGCTAAATATAAGGGTGTATTGCTTGTTGCTACAGAAGTAGATGCAGATGATTGTTTATTTCCTTTGGCCTTCGCAGTTGTGGAGGTCGAGAATAGTAAAAATTGAGAGTGATTTTTTTCCTGCATTCAATTATATGTTTTTAATGCATTATCTCCTAGAAAAATTACTTTTATATCCGATAGGATAAAAGGTATTCCTAAAGGATTGTACAGGAGATTTGGCTTTTATCACCATCACCGCTATTGCTTAAGACACATTAGAGCTAATTTTAAAGAGTTTTAGTCAGATATATTTACAAAATCTTCTTTGGCAAGGCAGTTGTACACCCAAAACATGTGTGTATGATTGGATACAGGATCAAATCAAGACAATATCTCAAGCTGCACATGATTGGATTAAGAGTAGTTTGGGAAGTGAATATGTTGACTGGTGGGCACTAAGTAAAGATGGAGAGAATCAGTTTTGCATGATGACAACTAATTGTTATAAATTCTTCAATGGGGTATTTAAAGGAGCTCGATCAATGCACATACATGCATTGGTTGCGAGGATATTTTATAGACTCAATCACTATTTTGTCAAGCGGCGAGAGGATAGAGCAAAGTGGGTGACGTTATGGACACAAAAAATAAAGAGATTGTAGGGTCTCAAGTCAAGTAGGTGAGATCAACGAAGATTGTTAGATTTTCTGTAGATGAATGACAGGTTACAGACAAACACAATCATAATTACACTGTCAATTTACGAGGGACACAATGCACATGCACTTGTAACATACCGTAATTGCAAAAATTGCCATGTTCACATGTTATAGCGATTACGTCTAAGCAATTTTGGGGTGCAAATACTTCGTATTACACAAACGCTTCTGAATGGTATCAATCAAGTCACTATAGAGATTCATACAAGGAGTGTTTTTATCCCATTGTAGGTAGTCGTTACTGGCCACTCTATAACGGGCCGCATGTGTTACCTCCTGAATATAAGAGAT